GGGCACGCGCTGCGACAGGACTGCGGCGGCGCGCGGCCTGCCTGGATCCCACCGGGACCTCGAACCTGCCGCCCTCGGTCCACTTCCCCTCCTCAGGGATCCCGGCCCGCTGGCGTAGTCCCCGCGGACGCACCCCCGGGGCACGCACTGGGGAAGGCTGGCTCTCGGGCGCGGGGTTCGGCGGGGCATGGAACGGCGCCAGGCTGGAAGGGCGGGATTCGCGGGGAACTTAGAGAGCGCTGGCCTCTTCCCGGCAGGAGGAGGCCTCCTTCCCTGCCCATCCGGATGGGCTTGCCTGAATGGGGCCGCGTGGCCCACCTTCCTCCCCTGGCCGAGTAACGGGTGGCAGCCGGGGCCCCAAGACAGCGCACCAGAGTCCTCAGAAGCCCAAGCTTCTGCTTCCGAGACTTTCCCAGCGTGTGCTCGGACCCTGTTGCTTTGGAAGAGCTCTCTGCTCTGCTCACTTCCCCAACCCTAGTCCCGCGCTCATGCCAGCAGGGAGCCCTCAGCCCCACTGAGATGGGCTTGCTGTGCTGGCCACCATTTCTTCAACTTGGGGGCGTTTCTGGCCTGATGCAAGCTTTGGTGTTTCCTAGGGTAATTTTTTAGGGAGGTGTGCAACTTGAAAAAAAAAAATCGAAGAGAAAGAAAAAGGGGGTTCTGAGGTCTCCAGTGTTCCTATCTGCCCCCAGCCCAGTTGCTGTTGGCCCAGTTGCTGTGCAGCGGGCAAGCTTGGACCCAAGTACTGATGTTCTCTCCTGCTGCCTAATGCTGAGCCTTCTTGTGCCAGGCATCTTTTTGAGGCAAGGCTGTTACTCTGATGGTGTCTTTTGTTGAACATCTTTGGTGCTTTCTAGAAAGTATCATATTAGGGGGCGGGTTTGGTGGCGGGTGTCAGAAGTTTGTTTCAATTGTGTTTAGTTAAGTCTGTTTTGTAGGATTATAGGATGGGTTCTTGGGTCCGAAATACCCTTTGCAGGCTTTTGCATCCTCTACAGGGGATAAAGGTGGGATGGGTGTATGTGGCAAGTGCTCCCAGAGTAGAATCTCCCTGCTACTGAGGGTTTTCAGTCTGTTTTTTTTTTTTTTTTGGATCAAGACCCGCAATAGAGATTCTCACACCCATGTACATAGAGGTTTATAAAACTGCATGAAGAGCTTCTTTTGGTCGACCCTTGTTTTCTACAAGGTGAGACACACTAATTCTATTTTGTTGGACATAATGTATTTTAAAAAGCTAATCATAATTCATTAACTTGATTTTATGACTGACTAACCAGTTTTAGGTGACAACTGCAGAGCTACAGATGCTTTTGGTTACTCTGGTTCTGGCTGTCTATTCACAGGGAGCCCAGTGGGGCATTGTGAGAGTGCTGGGAAGGTGGGTGCATAATGATTCCTTTTTTTTTTTTTTGTCATATTTTGGAAAGAAGAAGAAAGGAGAGTGCTTCAAGACTGCAGTAGACTTTGGACCTACAGCTTTCAAAGGGGATTCTTTAAGTCTTTCCTTAGAATTTCACAGCTGCAGTGTCAAGAACTGAGCCTTAATTATTTCATAGAGGAAGCATTTGCACCCCAGGAAGACCATGGCTTGTTAGTCATTAGCTGCTAGAGTAGTGGATATGGTATTAGACGTCTGCTTTCTTGACTTCCCTGCCCATGACAAATACAGAATTTGTCCTCTGGCATTTTTAAACTTTCCTTTACAACTTGGTACTGTTTTTCTGTGGTTGCTACCAAAGGCCCATTCTGTGGTGTATACCCTCTTATTTTATCTTTGCTTTTTGGAATGAAGATTCTTTTAGCAGCAAAGAAGAGTCTACAGGTCCCATGTCTGCGACATTTTTGAGAACTGAAGTGGAGGTTGGAGTGTGGGCATCTGGCCATTGTTTTTAATGACCTTGAGGAATGAACCCTCCTTTGCTTTTCCAGATGGGCAAGTGAAGCTGACAAGTCAGAGCTTTGCCCTCAGAATGACTGCAGCTCACTGGTTTTGGAGCAAGTTTCCTTGGAGTGCAGGCTGAGGTTTTCAAGGCCAAACTTCATTACAAGAAATCTTTTCAAGGAAGAGGAGTTTGGGGAAAATGAACTTTCATCTTAGCAAAGATGACACTTAGTTACAGCAAAGTTCTGTGCTGGGGGAAAGTGGTAGGATGAATTTAACGTTTTTTTAAAAAAAGCATTAAAGCAGATAAAAGTCATTTTGGGAACTCAAAAATGTCATAGTGTTGAAACCAACAGCAGTATGGTTTTCTTTTTTGGTTGTTCATTCTTCCCGACCAGACATTTTTCTTGGTCTCAGGTTGTATAAGCAAATTGCCTTATTTCTTTGGAAATAAAATATGAAAATATGGAAGAGTGAATGAATTGGGTAAGTGAATGATACTCTGGACTCAGTTAACCTGAATCAATTCCATTTATTGCCTGGATGTTGACTCTTAATGCCCATGCTGCAGTCACCATAGCATGCCTGTCTAAGCGCCCATGAACCTGGTGAGCTGTATGTCTTTTGGAACCAAGCCAAATTTAAATTTAGCTTTATCTGTCTTCAAAGTTCTAGTGATATTATTTGGATTGGGATGTTTTATTTAGTTAATTTTTCTGTGCTGGGGTTTGAACCTAGGGCCTTGTGCATGGTAGGTAAGCATTTTCCTTTGAGTTACATTCCCAGCCCAAATGTTTTTATTTTCTAAGCACTGGGTCTTTCTATCAATGGGATAACACTTGAAAAGGGTCAGGGTTGCTAGCCCTGGAAAAACAGTGATGATATTTTAGAGGAGACAAGGCCAGTGTAGAAAATATGAATAATTATAGCACCCATACTGGGCTTTTTTTTTTTCAGTACAAATGATTGAACGGTAGGATCTTACGCATGCTAGACAAGTGCTCTACCACTGAGCTACATCCCCAGACCCCTTTTAAATTTTTTTATTTTGAGACAGTGTTTCTAAATTGTTCAGGCTGACCTTGAACTTGTGATCCTCCTGCCTCAGTTTACTGAGAAGCTGGGATTACAGATAAGCATCACTGTGCCCAGCTCATCCTGGTCAATCTTGATTCATTGTGACAAGAATGCTTAGATAGCAGCCTTGAACTGGGATGGACTTATCTTTCATGTCCAGCTGTGGCTTCCTGGGCAATCTCATTTGGTTGAGCCTGGGCCATGTCATTCTTTATCAGAGTCTACTGTACCTGGGAGCCTCCAAACTTGGTGACTTCTAGGGGTCATCTCATTCAGTCCTGAACACTCTATTCAGATACTAAGGATACTCATGAGCTAGCCTCCAGAATTTCTGATGTGCTCTTTCTCCTTATCTATTCTCACCTCTTTTTTTGCTTTTCATTTTTCAGGTCAATTTTGCTCCTTAGATATATTTGAGGGCATTGTATGACGCTAAAGAAGGGTATAAACATAAAACAGACCTGCTAATGATGATGAAACAGAGTTAATGTCAGGAAGACCTGTGAGAATGGGTTAGTGAAAATGTAGGCAAGCGCTTGGGGTTTCTAGGTCCTGAATGCATCTCAGGAGGAAGTATGGGAGGTCAATTTAGAGCTGTACCTAAACAAGATGAAGAGAACTTCAAGCAGGTGGAATGAGGTCGAGAGAGAGAGAGAGAGAGAGAGAGAGAGAGAGAGAGAGAGAGAGAGAGAGAAACATTTTACAAAAAAGAAATTATATTCCAAATACCAATGTAATCATAATAGTTTATCCTGTACCAGGCTCTATATAAAATGTACTTCATATATTATTTAATTTCCATAGAAGTATTGTGAGTAATCCTCATTTTACATCTCTACCTACACAGAATATGAGCTTCATGAGGGGAGTAGTGGTTTTCTGTCAGTCTTATTCACACATTCCAAGCACCCAGCAGAGTGCCTAGAACACAGTAGACA